CCGAATATTAAAAAAACTTGATGTATGTAATGGTTAATTAATCCTACTTATTGAAACTAGACCATCACTATTAAGTAAACTGGTTGAAAACTAGTGATGCACTAACGTAGGTTGTTGAAAAAAACGAGTTGGCAAACCATTCATTAAACATTCAGGCGTAAAAAATAAATGACGAGTTATTTGTAAAATAAAAAACTATGAATTGCAACTTATTAACAGGATGCTAGATATTTTTAAAGTGTTTGAGCGCAGATGTCCTAGTGTTAAACTAACAAGTGGACGCATAAATATCAATAATTATTTTGTTCGATTTCAAACTGACTAGCTAGTTTTTAATTGAAACTCTCGTAAAAAATAGGTTAGGACATCCACTTAATACGGTTAAAATGATAAGGACAAAAGCCTTATTGGTTAAATTAAATGAGTATACATGAAACGCGATAGTTAATAAATCAATGTACTAGCCGAATTGTATAATCCAGTATGAAATTTGTATGAAAGACTGAATCATTTAAAAACAACACTTGTTGCAAATAAATGAACACTTTTAGGAAATTATTCACATAAAATTGTTCTATAACATTTATACTTGCAAAATTAACTGATGATAACACACAATGAGTAATTAATAAAATATTGTGTACCTGATAGTAAAATAACACTTGGCACACTAAACGTGAGATAATACCAATGTATGAATGGAACAATGGAAAACAAACATTGTTAGCATCTTGTTAAATATGATACAAGGGCATAAAATTAAACATTGTGTCAATCACAATGAATTTATGTGACATCTTTGATTAACTAGACAAGAATTTAAACTTTATTTTGGTAAATTACAATCAAATAAGAGGACAATTTACTTGAGGTGAAATTTGAAACTGTAAGCAAAAATATTGTGACTTAATTAAATGTTTTACTTAATTGTACTGATAACACTAAAGTAACATATGAAAAGACTCGTATAATTAATCCGTCTGGATGTGTGGTTTTACATTAGCTGGAATTAGGTACTGCTTTCTTTGCTTTCTTAAAGGCTGAGGGCTTTATTTCAGCATTCTCTTTTAGGCCGGTGAAGAGTAATACGCAATCGGAAGGCGTATGTGAGCTAGTTGAACTGTTTATTACTGTTATACACATTGCTCCAGCCACTTAGTTTGATAGAGGACCGCTGCTCCATTATTCTGTAAAAGAGACTAACTCATTAATGACTCTTTGATATTACTGTCTGTTGTTGCCTGCTGCTACCATCTCTGCTATTCCCTTCAACCGCTTTTGTCATTCTTCGTTTAAGTCGTATCCACTCATTGTCATGTTCGCGGACTGCTGAAATGTTTTCAACAACTTATTTAGTAGATACTACTAAAATTCAATGCGTTCTATTTACACTTTGACATAGGTTACTAACAGATGTCTTCTACAATAAATGCTGGTTTTTACCACTTTTATTCTGGTCACAAGAGAGAAGACGAAACTTCGTTCAACATTTAATATATTACGTATGCTTTATCAACAACTGAAGAACTGAGGACCCCAATATATATATAACCTGTATGAGATCCATGTAGCATGGCGGGTTCACTTCTAGTAAACGCTTAGCCGTTTCACCATTTAATTTCATAAAAAGGTGCTTAGTTCAAACAAAATAATTCTAGGAAAAAGACTCAATACTGCGAATGTCAGCTGACTTCCTCATTGATTAATTAGTGCTTATAACAAGTGGAATAGGCATACAAACCACTTACTAATGAAGTGGTGTAAATTACTAGCTCTACTGAGGACCCAAACCAACCAATAAAAGACAGAAAACTAATAAACACAGAAACGTATTTGTTACAGCTGTTTTCCCTAAAACAACTGCTTTTTTATGCTGCAACCACTAGCAAAATTTAAAAATCAAATATAAGCTGGTTGAAGACTACATTTGAATCAGCTATCTACCATTGATAAGTATCGCGATGACCACAACTGTTTTCAAAGTATAAAAAACACTGGAGTATATGAAATTAAAGAGTATGGAAAATAAATAGATGAGAAATGTAAACTCTTTACATCAAACTATAAAATAAGGCATCTCAATTGACTACTGTATTCTTGGCTTCGAAATCACGATAAAGATGTCCGATATACAACTTCTTCATAAGAAATGAGAAAAATTACATAAGTTATAGTTAGGAAAGAAAAATTATGATTGGTCGCTTGCTTGAAATTCCCTGATTTGAGAAAGTTAAACTAGTATAGATTTAACTATACTTGTCACAATATGACAATATTCTGAATATCCCTTACATACACAGGTCCGAGAAACCGACGAATGCAGTATGAATATATTTCAGCTTAGTATGAAAGCATTTAGTAACATTTACACGGTTTCACTTGGTGTCAGAAAATATATCTATACATTAGGAACTAGTTTGATTGTATTATTCATTCGATCTAAATTATGCAAACAACGCAATATTAGAAATGAAATTTTGATTAACTAATGTAGCATTTTCTTCGAATTTATTTGATAAATAAAGTCAGCCTAAACATACTGAAAAAACTTGGTATATACCGTTATTTATGTATCTACGCTATTTCGTATATTCAGTGACATTATCCAGATAAAATTAAGCCTAATAAATGTTGATTATGACTATGACTATGTCTTACAGGTATACACAGTTCTCTGTATATTTACACAATTTGTAGCATATCTAAATCCATCAATATTTGCTTAAAAGAAATAAGATTGTTCAACAAATCATTACTAATATTTACAAATGGAAACTGGAAGTTTTTGAAAATCCTAGTGAATCTAAGAGGGTATCCTAATCTTACAAGACTTAGAACATATCGCTTTAACTGAACCCATAGAAACAATGAAAATTACGAAGTTTTCAAAAACAGCTTGTTTACGTAATAATATATTAGTTAATAACCATAAACAACATAAAGCTCGACCCAGGTTACCAAACTGAACATCGGCAATATAAGAAACTAACAAACACAAAAGTAAAAGTACTAGTATCAATTATAGGAAGGGTTGAATACGAGATAGAGTTGGAAAAAACGAATGGATCTGAGGATATAAAATATTAAAATGGAATATTTGGATATCGGTTAAGAATGAATGTATGTACTAGACTATCATTGATTTGAAAAACTTATTACCCAACATCTGGGAACATTCAATGTAGGGATTTCAAAGACTCCAATTATGAAACTCACACTCGTTTAAACGGTGAATTAATAAATTGGTCTCTCATAACTCTTATTCAACATACCACTCCTATAATACTCAGTCGAGTGTATTTTGTCAGACGACTACTTGGTAACTGTAGAACATGTCTTAACCACGGGTGGCATGGTTAATTGATTTACTTCAATCTGTTCACCAGCTCATAAACTCAGAATTAATTACTTCAAGGTCCTACCATACGCGAACCATACTTTGAAGCCATCCTTGTAAAATGTCCATAATCTACACATGTCCTAAATGTTCATAGACCTTGCACCAAATGCACAAAACTAAAAAGTGAACTGATGAGCCGTATCCCCATTGTCTGATAGGTAAACCGTAACCCCACCTGTACCACAGGTAGCCCTCGTTCGTAATGCCGAGTGAGCACTTCTTACCCATGTTTGAATTTTGTCAGCGACCAACCTATATTCAAATTGATTAGCTATCTTACTTTTGTTAGATTAAGAATTGACACACACTAATTTCGAAACTACGCCTTGAATTTTGGAACAGAAGCATTTTAAATGTCCTTGCACTGTCCCCTAAGCGCACATTTTATTAACGTTTCCGTCAAATAGGAGTTAGTAGTTGAGGTTAGAAGTAGTGAACATCATGAGATACGATAATCACTTTTAAGGACATTTCTGTAACAACACTAATTGGATAAAAATGAACAAAATGAACAGTCGCGATAGACACTATTTTGTATCCTTGGATTTCAAAATGGTGATGGTGTGATAAATATGCCAATGACCAGGTTTGAAACCTGCCCAATTATCTTAAATTTTTAATTACTGAATCCTAGTTAAGTCTCGAATAAGTATAGAAGCCAACATCCGTGGGACGGCATCATTTAAACTGGAGATCAAAAGATAGATTTTTAAAGTCAACTATTTGATTTAGCAAAATAACTTGAGTTAATTTAAAAAACAAACTGGAACATAAGATGAGGATAATGCGAATATATGATTATCCTGGGATCTCAAATAATTACCGTTGTCTTTCAGTCTCACAAGCCTTAGAATACTGGTCTCATCCCGTGAATACAGCTAGTGACAAAGTCAGGAGAGAAATGTTTCAATATGATAAGTTTTGGCACTTAATTGTGCATCCCTAGAGAAAGTCAATAGAAAAACATGCAAATAGGTTCCGTGCTCAGTTGTAACTTTGAAGAAGACTAATGACCTTATAACTACTGGAAATCGATTTAATCAGCACACTCTAAACAACAGAGTCAAGAAATTTTCAGAAACCAAATCCAATTAACAATAGAACTTGCATGTTTGTTATATCTATACGATTTAAAATGTTTAGACTCAAAGCTAAAGAGTTTGTATCAGTTAGCGACATCCACGTAACGGACGGATCGTTACTAGCATAAAATCTGACAGTCATATAGCTTCGTATTTCAGAGACAATATTACTGTAGAAACATTCGTTAAATAGTTCTATAAATGTTCCTATGGAATAATATTGGATGGTTTTCAGTAGTCCCATACATTTTGTGGAAGGAAAATAATTCTTCATAAACTTCATACAATATATGGACAAAAAAAATTAACTTTACAAAAATTATCAACAAGCGATTGGTTTACCACAAGCTAATTATTGAGAGCTCTGTCATTGAACAGCGTATGAATTTCGAATAGTAGTACTCGTAAAAGTTAACACAAATTTTATTTAAATAACAATCCACACTAAGATGTAAAATTCAACCAATAATTCATGAACTACTACTTAATAAAAAGATAACTGGATTTTATGAACTTACAATAGAGAAGATTATTCAGTGATGGCAAATTGGCGTTAAATGCATTTTGAGTTGGAATCAGAGCAGAATTATATGACATATATGAATTCGCAGATTCAGGATGTTCAGAGGAATTATTTTTTGGTAACCCATCTGAATGGACACGGGCATGATTATAAGAATAATCTCCAGGACATAAATGCTGATAAGGTTGATAATGAATCTCCTTTGGCACACCAATAGATGCCGTATACTTTGCTCCTAAAGCAGATAAAGAGCGCAAATGATCAACTGCCTCAGCTGCTGATATCAGAGAACCCATTGTTGATGCTTTGGAAGATAAATGAACAGGGCGATTTACTAATGCTTCATATCTCAAACTAGAAAGCTCAGGGTCACTGGGATCAGGTTTTGTAAAGGCTTTTGGTGAACCTGACGAGTGATGAGCAGAGTCGGAACCAGCTTCAAAAGATAATACTCTAGTACTTAAATCTTTTGGATAGAAACACTGATTTGTGTCCCCATTCCGTTCCTTTGAGTAATCTTCTGTAGACTGAGGAATTCTCGTTTGACCAACTTGAGAGGAATAATCGTTATTAGGGCAACATTCTCCTACTTTATTGAGTTCATTATCTCGAGTTCGTGGACAACACATAGACTCACAAGACCACATTGGTGCAACTCGGTGGTAATTATTACTAGCTGAATTGTATGTCATCTTCTCTGTCTTGTGAGAAGTGTTTAAAGTATTGGTAGACGGTTTACCTGAAATTAAATTGTCAGTATCTGACATTGGTGTGCTGGATTGATTGTATGGATGAGATGACTTTAGAGACGATGGAGCGTGTAAAGATGCTGTAGACATATGAGGAGATAAAACCTGAGGCTCGGCGTTTGAAGCACAACCTGGAGTACTTTCTTCAACACTTGGAGGAGTACCCACACTACCAGAGGCTAGGGTTGCCATTGATGGTAGCTGGATGGAGTGTGAATTATTTTTATTTTTGCTATGAATAAGATGAGGGTTGGTAGAACCAGGAAACTGTTCGCCGTGTGCAAAATCTGACAGATTAAGTGGTTGACCATCTAAGTGGTTCTGCTGTTTTCTCGCCACAGCTCTTTCTCCGATTCGTTGTACTATAACGCCTAAGTCTTCTAGCATTTCACCGAGTGTTTCTTGATTCAAAAACTCCTTTTCGCCATGTGGATTGTTGCATCTAGTATTTTGTTCACCTTCAAAATTGAATTCTCTCATCATATAATCCCTTACTCTATTGTCTTTATGAGCAGATAGAGATCTATCTTGAGTATGAATATATCTACGAGTTAAAATATCACCATTTTCACCATCATTGAAGTCACTGTCGGAATTGCGGGACTTTGTACCCACTTTTGAAAGATTTGTTTCTTTTGCACAATGAAACTTCTTAATTGGATAATTATAGTCTTCTGAATGTAGTTGTGAATGAACAGCATGAAAGGCATTCGAGCGTTTTAAATTATCAGTTAGTTCGAAGTGATTACTGTATTGCTCCATACGATTTCTTTGTGAACTAACTTCATTGGAGACGTTATTATGGATATTATCAGATATGCGTTCTATGTGATATCCTCCACTACTTTGATGTTTTCTTGCAGTACCATCAGTGAAGGTACTCATTCCCAAAGGATGATACTGAGAATTATTAAAATGGCCAGCTCTCGGAACGGATTCATCATGTGGAACTTTCATACTTAACTGGAAATGTTTGCCAGATCTTCCACGACCATGAGAAATTCGACCTCTTCCAAATCCGGCGCTTCTATAATAACCATAATAATTGGTTTGCTTACTCTTCTGTGAGGCTTTTATTAACTGTGATGCCATAGATTCTGCTGCTCCAGGTTCTAAGCAAAATATGCGTTGAAGATAAGGTTGTAATTGCTGCTGAAGTTTCGGACGTCTACCACGTCTTCTTGGAGGATTCGGGGCTACTAGAGAGGAGTCAGATGATATTTGTTGCTCCAGTAAGCCAATCATGTAAGATTCTTCACGAGTGAAAGGGCGAGTTGTATGAAAAGCAGCTCGTATAACATGCAGTGGTTGGGTTACAAGAGCATCATTCACTTCATCAACAATTTCACTGATCTGTGTAGTTAGCTTTTCTCCCATCGTAAATACCGGAAGTACAGATAAAACATGTGACTTCGCTTTTTCGAACTCCTCTGTAGAACCAGATAACTCTGCACGCTGAAGTTCTGAAAGAATATTAAGCAGAACTGAATTCAAACTAGACTCACTAGTTTCAGATTCTGTTATGATGGAATTACGCGAAGATAAGTGAGGCAACGTTGTTAAATATGACGTCTGATTATTCTGACGACAGGAGGAAATCGGACCGTTAAAATTCTGGTTTGGGTTATCAATAAACTTTTTTTCCGTGGACGAACGATCCGCCTCAAACCCTCCACTACCAAATAAGTCTGGTAGATCCGATTCCTTGTCAAGGCTATCCAAAATCCCATTGATCTCTGCGTCAAGAGGTCCAGGAACCTGGGGAGTACACGAATCCAAGATATCAGCCATTCGATGACGCAAAATTGGAACTGGCGTAGATGTACGTGCTACTAAATCCTTATCAGTGAAGGGTACTCTGTATGCCAGTGTCTCCGGAGGATGTTGTGATGAACAGGATGAAGGCATTCGGTGATGAATATCATAATCAATATTTCCATCCTTTGTATGATTTATCTGATAGTGTTCATTTAAACTAGGTCTATCGTAACAATTATATAAACAGAGAGCACAACTAAAAGGTTTTTCACCAGTGTGTTTACGATGATGAAGGTTCAGTGTTTCTTCACTGCAAAATCGACGCTGGCAATTGGGCCACTGACACTGATATTTCTTTTCAGAATCTGAATTGTGAAAATAGCAATGAATGTATGAAAATTGGCTTCACAAAACACAATATATAACAATATTAAGAAACCATACTATCAATAGGCATTTCTGAAACTATGAAAGATTAAGCAAGCGAATGAACGCTTGTAACTGAAATTAACCAAGTTCGGCAATAGCAATTTCTATCAAGAATCAACTAATAAATGTCAGCTGCTCAAGTATATTGCAACAACAACTAAAAATAGTGCATATAGGTATACATATTGGGTAGCTCAGGTGGATGATTGTGGTGCTGTTTCCTTCTCTGAGCTGGATGTTTTCGTTGTTGGGCTCCATAACCACCACAATACATATTGTGTGCTAGTATATGTACCTAATCAGCTAGACTTAAGTGGTAAATATAGCATTAGTATAAATTTTTTGTTGATTAGCAGTCAATTTCATAACATGAAATGACAAACGATCTTCAAGTAGCCTAACAAAGTTATTCTATTTACACTTCTACTGTACTTTGACTTGATCCAAACAACCAAATTGTAGATTTGGTGACCATAAAAAAAAGCCAACCATACAATCACAGATTCAGTTGAGTATTGCAGTAAACCACTGTGAACCACTCAATTTAGTGGAAAAAATTATAAAGTTAGCCCAAGCTAGAAGTTTGATTTCGGTTGTAAAAAGTCGATAACAATTTATAAAACTGCTAGATTTGAATTCGGATCCATGGGAATGTCATAACAATAATTGCCCTGGACAAAATCTTAATCAACTTGAACTAAGATAGAATACTAGAAGGGCATTTAATGACTGAAGTATATGGTTTCTAAACAATAGGCCTCAGGTTCGAACCTTCTTCAACCTACTCAGGTTTGAGCAACCAGATAGTTACAATGGCTTTCACACAAGTTATCCCTCAAAGCTGAGTATATAGTTGTACTTAGTAAAGGAATTATACGGGGAAAGTGGTTTATGAAATTGTTTAGGGACAATAAAACAGAATCGCACCGAGCAGTTTGTTAACCTTTGTCCCTACATTCTTTAAAATTAAAGTAGTGTATATTTATACAGGAGAAAGCTTTAATACAAACCAATCAAGTGTGGATCCAGAATTATGTGGGTAAAATTTTCAAAACCTTTTCAGACAAACATCGATTGCTCGAATTCGGATTTTAGATAAAGCGGTATGACATGTTCCAAATGGAAATGCACTTCCAGTCAAAAACACTGAACTAGGAATCTGATGACTTCGTAACAACTCAATATATTGGTTTAGCTGCTCAAAAAGAAAACATTAACTTTGTTTAGGTACCGATTATTGAATAAATAATAACGCGCCTTAGGTAAGTGAGGAAGTACAACCGTATGACCGAAACTATGTTTACAGTGAGGCTTTAGAGGTAACAATAATGTAAATCTGAACTTCTCTAAAACAGGTCATTTTCTGGAATTATGACACAAGTAACAAAACTATCGAGCTCATATTAATAGGAAAACTTAAGAGAAAAATAACTAGGATATATTTGTGTAATTAATTCGAGTTGATCTGACTGACTTCCAGTTATTCGCTTTGAAACCACAGACTAAAACACATGGTTTAACAGCCGAATGAATTACCACAAAAAACTAAACGATGGTGATGAAACACAACAAAAGGATATTATATTGTGTTCAGCTTTAAAACTGAAGAAAGTACAGAAAGCAGAGATATTTGAATGAACATGAATTCTATATAACTCAGTAATAAACAGTAAAATATCTAAAGTACGGTTTTTCAGGTTTATTACTACTTGAAATTCTGTTCGCAATTTTGGATCGACCCATAACATAAAGCAACGAATAGTTTTAATAACAATTCTTACCATCATGTGTGGCAATATGACGCTTTAGGTGGGTTTTTCGGTGAAAAACTAGATCACATTGTTCTACTGGACACGAGTAGTTTTTGGGATGCATCCTGTGAAACTCATCCCGGTGATTTTTGAGATACTTTGGGGTACGAAAAGCTCGATCACAACCTTCAATGTCACACACGTAGGGTTTTCTTGGATTGTGTACATCCGCATGATATTTTAGACGCAACTTCGTCTTGAATACCCTGCCGCATTCATTACATCGATAAGTATTGCACTGAGCCATGATACAATCATGATTACGTAAAAGGGACTCATTTGAAAACCATTGAGAACAACCTTCACAGCGTAATTCTTGAGAATTAGCAATAGTGTGCATTGATTCTATATGTTTGAATAGGTTTTTCCCATATTGTGTGGAATACGGACAGTGATCACATTGATGGCGCTTTGTGCTATGGTTTACATGTTTTTTCATGTGACTTCGTAGAGAAGATGGGTTGGGATACGCAATATTACAAACTTTACAAACGCAGTCTTGGCTGCCTTCAATTTCCTCAACACACATATCATTTGAGTGCATCATATCAGATGAATTGAAAGATGAACCATATTTGTATCCAGCTGGTAATTCATCGGACTTACAAGGCATAGTACTTGAAGGGTCGAAATAAGTGTCGGATATATTTGATTCGTGTTGACGTCCAGGAATACTGGTATTAGTACCCAAAACGTTATATGGTGGAGAAAGATTATGTTTGGGAGTGATAGATCTATTAAGAGAAGCAGGACCGCTGCACGAAGTTGGTGATTCGGCCACAGATAGCTGATTAGAACGATAATCAGGAGGAGTTGAACTACTATCCATCACTTCAGAAGATTCATTGGGTTTTCCATGGATAGAAACAGGACCACTATGAGGTGTGGTGTCAGAAACAGATATGCTTGCGGCGTATAAACCAGAGACGGTGTGTTGATCATTTATTTGAACTGGGGAGTGGGTATGATGTTTAATTGGGGTAGCATATCGATCGAGTTGCTTTAATCGCTCTTTGAGTACTGGGTTATTAGCAAGTCGTTTATCATCATCACTTGTGTCATCTTCATCGTCCGTAGTAGTGTCTGATTCGGTTTCAGATTCGTATTCTAAAGATCTTTTGTGAGTCTTTTGGATAACAGTTTCATTTGCGTTTTCAAGATTGTTTCTCACGACTTGGGATGTTATAAGACCAGAAGTTTGACCAATTAAACCAGAAGCTGCAAGGCTTGACATTTCAAAATAAAAATAATCAGCAGTACTCCTGTTTTACCATTGATTTTATTGTAATATAATGTTAGGTTCTAAATTTATTTATTTGCAAATATGGCGAGCGTCAATGCGTATAAATATCCACAAGCTGTAATCCCAAGCGGGATCGAGAACTCAGCAAAACATACAATAGCCCCGCTACAAACAACTGACCTTGACCACTAACAGTTTAAAGATGACATGCCAAGTCGAACGAATGTTCATCTTTATTGTCAGTTAAGTTTGTCCCTATAGAGTCTAATAAACTAACTCATATATCCCAGATTTTGAGTACTTGGTTTAGTACACAAATTTAATGATGCTAGCGGACGCTATTTCAGCTGAAGAATAATATTTACAATATTCTATGTTATATGTTTAGTGTAATTCGGTTTTCTCAGTACAAAATATTTCGACAAAATCCGCAACTACCAACTAATCACTATATGTGCGTAAAAAGTGAGTAAACAAACAACCTGTAATTAGAATGAAATGTTTTTTATACGATGAGAATTTTCAAACTTTCTTAATCGGGAACAGTTTTAAGACTATCAGTTTTTAATAGCTTCGCTTTTAACGCATATTCGCTGCATTTTATTTTTGTGAAATAAGCAACCGTAGAGTTTTCATACTTCGGCTTTCGCGAACGGCTTCTTTCAGAAGACATGAAAGGCGAAAGATATGAATGGAGTCATTAGTTAGTATCCGATAAGACAACACTTTTCAGGGGTTTAAGGGATTTTAAATTTCTTTTCACCTCAACACCACATGAATTCAAAAGATTCGCTATAAATTGTACTCACCCACTTCAGTATTCTCTGCGACACGGCAAAAGCTTTTCTCGAAAGCTCGGAAAATGATAGCGAGGAACAGTAAAGGAGTGTAAGTAATGCTTGAGGATTTAAAAATCGTTAAAATAAATATTGAACAGGGTTGAAAACATGTGGACTATTCATAGAATCAGCCAACTGATAAACGCCCATGGAAATCGGAAGAACATAAGAAGATGAATCGATATCTTAGGGTAGACTTTTACTACAATAAATGACCTTTGATTCTGTTTTGATTGTCGATTTCCAATGTTAAAAACTTCAGGGGATTCCAAAAGGATATTTGGGTCTGGTTCATGTCTCAGGCAAAAACTAAGAGTTTGACATTTAGAAGATTTTAATATGAGACCATTACCATCAGACCAATGTTCAGAGATCAATAAGAGCTCATTCATTTCCAAAGAGCCTTAGGAGACATAAATGAGAGTTCGTACAGTAAAATCGTTTGCATACGAAACGATTTTCTGCTGAAGATGGCTGACCATGCGAAAAGAGAGAAAAGAAAACAGGGAAGAATAGCTTCTGACCGCACACTTTCCAGACTTGGTACAGTAAATTGTGCTTTTTGAGAGGTAAGAACACAGTTAGTAGCTTAGCCATCTGCCAGTGTTAACTCTAGAAAGCCTATTGAGTAATTTTGGCATGCTACGGATTTGATTGCAGAATTATGGTCTAGAAATGTGAATTGAACATATTTCCTGCTCATTTCTAAGTCGCATGCTATTTTATGATACGGGACAATAGAAACACCTAAGGTACTTTTTTCACAATTGTACGCAAACTAATGCGGATGGATATACTCTTTGAATTGTAAGTTGAAGTTAAAACAAGAAGTTTTGTCACTGTTCTAAGAAGGGTGAGGTAACAGACGTAAGTCTAAATTTTAAAATTCTTATTACCAGATACTTTCTTTAGAATTGGAATTATATTTTTCACCAATAATTACGTTAATTCTCAATTACCAGCTTATTGGTAGGAGTTCATGGACGGTCTCCGTAAATGGATGACACAGAACGTCTTCGGAGCGAGTTGAGTGATGATAAAAATTTTCGGACATCACTCACACAGAAAACTGAAACACAACTCCTTAAATAGTGAACAGTGAATTCAGATACTTATCTTTTTGGTTTGTTAGGCCGTTTGACCTTCCCTTTGTAATTGTTTTACTTGTAGTGAGTTAGATAGAACAAAACTTGGAAAAGTACTTTCTGTGAGACAACAGCTATCAAAATAAAGCTTAAGATAATTAAAAGTAATATCAAAGGTGTTTTACAATTAGTCACTTGTAAATAAACTGCAGTTTTTTGGAAGGAACATATTCTCAGATCTTCGACATATTTATCAAAGTAAATCCTGTATTTAAAATTCTTTCTCTCGTGTGAGAGTTTACTTTTTCAAGGTTTGTAATAGACTTTGTGTAGAACATGAATATTACGATTGTTGGAATTAGGCTGTTGAGTATGTTTACGAGTCACATACGTTATTCAATCATCGATAAAATGTAGGTCTAATTGTGCATCCAAATGAGTGAAAAATTCAACTTTATCTGAGCCGCCTAGTCATGAAGAAATCCTGCGATTATATTATTTAAAATCACATACTAAAAAAGATCTACTGAAGGCGGTAGCAGCAAATATGTGATCTCATCAACGAAAACCGATAGAGAAGATTAGATACAGTCCAGAGTTACATGAAAGTAAGTAATATTGAATTATTGTACTATTTCAATTGTTTTCGACGATATCTTTGGGTCACACACTTCAAAAATTCGTATAAAGACTAAAAACATGCAAGATTTGATTGAAACTAGCTCACTTTTACGACGTACTTACACCACCTACAAACCTTTTGATAATTACTATACTTTATTATCAAATTTGGCCATGTTATAAGAGACGAGCCAAGTTACAGGCCGGATCAAAATGTTAAATTTGCTAACACATTTTCTTCAAAAGGTTGTTCGGTTACGTAAATATTTCACAAGATACATAAGCTCCTTGTAGATGGCAAAATTTTTCACATACAATTATAGGTAATGTTGCTGACTCCGCTATGTACAATACGATAGTTAGCGCCAGTTACGACAGTGACGTTGCGATAAACCACTGCTTGTTGAGAATCAGTGCAAGGTGAATTCGGGTTCTGCATATGACAAGAACTGATTAGGTAAGTGTATAAACATCTTGTTGATTACTTACTTACTTACTTTCTAGTCTTTCTTACTTTCTGTCTAGTTGATACCGTGCTTCCCTCCAGATGTCGACATCTTCATAATCCAGTCGATGACCAGGAGAAAGAGAAAGGGTGAGAGTAAGCAACCTTGCCTGACACCGGTCTTCACCTCAAAAGAGTCTGTCAGCTGACCTCCGTTTTGCAGTTGAATCCATCATAAGAGTTCCGTATGATGTTAACTATTTTCTCAGGCACACCGTAGTGTCGAAGAAGCCTCCACAATGTTTTCCTGTCCTCGCTATCAAATGCTTTCTCGTAGTCGATGAAGTTGATGTAGAGTGGTGAGTTCCATTCAGTTGATTGTTCCACAATGATCCGTAATGTAGCAATTTGGTCAGTACACGATCGATCCTTACGTAATCTGGCCTGTAGGTGTCGAAGTTGGGCGTCTACGAAGTCCTTCATTCTATTTACAATACCCTGTTGAAGACTTTGCCTGGTATTGAAAGAAGAGTGATGCCTTTGTAGTTCTCACACTTACTGAGATCGCCTTTCTTTGGTATTTTGAACAGGTATCCTACTTTCCAATCTGATGGTACTTGTTCCTCATCCCAAATCTTCTTGAAGAGGATGTGAAATAGTTTTGCGGTTGCTTCCAAATCAGATTTCCTTGCCTCTGCTAGAATGTTGTCTGGTCCTGCTTATTTGCCGCTCTTGATTTTTCTGATGGCCTTACTGGTCTCTTCAATTGTAGGTGCCACAACATCGATTGGGAGGGCCGTGGATGCTGGTTCGATGTTAAGTGGGTTCAGTGGAGTTACAGGCCGGATCAAAATGTTAAATTTGCTAACACATTTTCTTCAAAAGGTTGTTCGGTTACGTAAATATTTCACAAGATACATAAGCTCCTTGTAGATGGCAAAATTTTTCACATACAATTATAGGTAATGTTGCTGACTCCGCTATGTACAATACGATAGTTAGCGCCAGTTACGACAGTGACGTTGCGATAAACCACTGCTTGTTGAGAATCAGTGCAAGGTGAATTCGGGTTCTGCATATGACAAGAACTGATTAGGTAAGTGTATAAACATCTTGTTGATTACTTACTTACTTACTTTCTAGTCTTTCTTACTTTCTGTCTAGTTGATACCGTGCTTCCCTCCAGATGTCGACATCTTCATAATCCAGTCGATGACCAGGAGAAAGAGAAAGGGTGAGAGTAAGCAACCTTGCCTGACACCGGTCTTCACCTCAAAAGAGTCTGTCAGCTGACCTCCGTTTTGCAGTTGAATCCATCATAAGAGTTCCGTATGATGTTAACTATTTTCTCAGGCACACCGTAGTGTCGAAGAAGCCTCCACAATGTTTTCCTGTCCTCGCTATCAAATGCTTTCTCGTAGTCGATGAAGTTGATGTAGAGTGGTGAGTTCCATTCAGTTGATTGTTCCACAATGATCCGTAATGTAGCAATTTGGTCAGTACACGATCGATCCTTACGTAATCTGGCCTGTAGGTGTCGAAGTTGGGCGTCTACGAAGTCCTTCATTCTATTTACAATACCCTGTTGAAGACTTTGCCTGGTATTGAAAGAAGAGTGATGCCTTTGTAGTTCTCATACTTACTGAGATCGCCTTTCTTTGGTATTTTGAACAGGTATCCTACTTTCCAATCTGATGGTACTTGTTCCTCATCCCAAATCTTCTTGAAGAGGATGTGAAATAGTTTTGCGGTTGCTTCCAAATCAGATTTCCTTGCCTCTGCTAGAATGTTGTCTGGTCCTGCTTATTTGCCGCTCTTGATTTTTCTGATGGCCTTACTGGTCTCTTCAATTGTAGGTGCCACAACATCGATTGGGAGGGCCGTGGATGCTGGTTCGATGTTAAGTGGGTTCAGTGGAGTGTAGAATCATTTTTGAATGTTTTGTTTTTTGGAAAATCCCTCCATGTACATATATTTTTGTTGTGATATGACTGACTCTTTCTGTTGACATTTTGGTACTCTATTTGATTCCATTTTGAGATTTT